TTGCTGTTCTGGGGCAGCTGGTGGGAGGTGGGGAGCCCGCAGGAGAGGCGGAGGAGAAGTGGCTGACGGCTGCCGAGGTGGGCGTGAGAGACACGGAGGCGGCAGCACTGCCACTGGCTGTGGCCACGCCGGTGGCAATGGCGTCGGGCCTCGTGGTCGGGACGGCGGTGCTGGTCGCCTCGGTATTGGCCGAGAGCCCGAGTGAGCTCCCTTCCCGAGTTGGCGTGGTGGCCGCCGTCTCCGTTTGCCCTTCTCCGCCTGCCGTCCTTGTGGTGGATGGGGTCACCAAAGACGTGGCAGGGACGGAAAGGGAGGTGTTGGCGTTGGGCTCAGTGGTCATGCTGCTGCCCTGGTTCGTGGCGGGACTCTGGCCTTCGGCGGGAGCAGTCGTGGCACGGGTAGGCGCGGAGGCGGAGGCCGCGTCAGGAGAGGGGCTCCCTGTGGAAGATGAGGTGGTCCTTGCTTCGGCCGTGGCCTGCCCCTGCGTGAGGGCTCTGGAGGTGGGCCGCCCTGCCAGCGTCCCCGCACTGTCAGCCAGCGTGGAGGAAAGGCTGGCCTGGGTGGTGTCTGAGGCCGGGGATGTGCCGGAGGCGGAAGCCGGTGGCGGGGGACTGGGCGTGCTGGGAGCTGGGCTGTGCTTCGTGGCCTCTGCGCTCACAGCGCGCGAGCCAAGGCTGGTAGCGCCATGAGTGGAGGAAGGAGCGGAGGACGCGAGTGTCGTGGATGGGTGGGAGGTGGCGGGCGAGCGCGCCTGAGTGGTGCCGCTGGTGGTGCTTCTGTGTGGGCTGGGAGTGGCAGGTGAGGAGCCCGCAGGAGAGGCGGAGGAGAAGTGGCTGACGGCTGCCGAGGTGGGCGTGAGAGACACGGAGGCGGCAGCACTGCCACTGGCTGTGGCCACGCCGGTGGCAATGGCGTCGGGCCTCGTGGTCGGGACGGCGGTGCTGGTCGCCTCGGTATTGGCCGAGAGCCCGAGTGAGCTCCCTTCCCGAGTTGGCGTGGTGGCCGCCGTCTCCGTTTGCCCTTCTCCGCCTGCCGTCCTTGTGGTGGATGGGGTCACCAAAGACGTGGCAGGGACGGAAAGGGAGGTGTTGGCGTTGGGCTCAGTGGTCATGCTGCTGCCCTGGTTCGTGGCGGGACTCTGGCCTTCGGCGGGAGCAGTCGTGGCACGGGTAGGCGCGGAGGCGGAGGCCGCGTCAGGAGAGGGGCTCCCTGTGGAAGATGAGGTGGTCCTTGCTTCGGCCGTGGCCTGCCCCTGCGTGAGGGCTCTGGAGGTGGGCCGCCCTGGCAGCGTCTCCGCACTGTCAGCGTCCCCGCGCTGTGAGCCAGCGTGGAGGAAAGGCTGGCCTGGGTGGTGTCTGAGGCCGGGGATGTGCCGGAGGCGGAAGCCGGTGGCGGGGGACTGGGCGTGCTGGGAGCTGGGCTGTGCTTCGTGGCCTCTGCGCTCACAGCGCGCGAGCCAAGGCTGGTAGCGCCATGAGTGGAGGAAGGAGCGGAGGACGCGAGTGTCGTGGATGGGTGGGAGGTGGCGGGCGAGCGCGCCTGAGTGGTGCCGCTGGTGGTGCTTCTGTGTGGGCTGGGAGTGGCAGGTGAGGAGCCCGCAGGAGAGGCGGAGGAGAAGTGGCTGACGGCTGCCGAGGTGGGCGTGAGAGACACGGAGGCGGCAGCACTGCCACTGGCTGTGGCCACGCCGGTGGCAATGGCGTCGGGCCTCGTGGTCGGGACGGCGGTGCTGGTCGCCTCGGTATTGGCCGAGAGCCCGAGTGAGCTCCCTTCCCGAGTTGGCGTGGTGGCCGCCGTCTCCGTTTGCCCTTCTCCGCCCGCCGTCCTTGTGGTGGGTGGGGGGCCCCAAGACGT